TTTCTCCGCGCTGGCTGTTGTCGCCCTGTTGATGACGTCAGCGACGCGGTTTAGTCGGGCGCGGTTTAATCGAGCTCAGTTTAGTCGGTGAACCCTGAGGACTACCTGGGTTAATCATTGTTCAACTAATTTGCCAGTCTGCAAAACAGAACATGATGAGCTTCTAAGGGAGACTGTGCACCCAGTAAGGAAATCAGCTTCCCTTTGCTGCGTACACTGTGCAATGACAATCTCAAGAAATCACACCTGGTCTCCTTTTTGCATAAGTGTCCACAGGTCGATGACGTCAGCGCCACATTCTTCAGCTACTTTCACACAAGCCTTCGCGTATTCTCCCGTGACAGAATTTAGCCGATTTAATTTTTCACCTGTTGGAGAATGAGGGGGAGGGGAAATATATCAAACTTAAAAGCTGAGTTCAGGTTTTGCTTTTTGAGTAGCAACACGGATCAGAAATGGATCCAGGTGATGCAACTCACCACCCTTAGGCTTTAACGGCGTACAGGTAGTCCTCGTTTAACGACCCCCAACTGGAATGAGCAACTTGGTTGTCAAGCTAAGCGGTTGCTAAGTGGAACTATGAAGGTGCTTCAGCATTCCTTTGCATTATAGATTTGGAAGGTCATAAATGCGGGGATTGGGTCACAAATCGCGGTCACAACTGAAAACAATTGCTAAGCAAGACAATCGCTAATCCAGGGGGACACTTGTAACTAAGATAGAGGGTGAAGGTGGACAAATAACAAATATAATTATATTATATAATTACAAATAACAATATAATTTCTTCATGGGGTAACTCATATGTCTCTGGCTCCCGTCCCATCCAGATGTTGACATGGGCAATGTTTAGAATTTAAAGCTTGGTTTAATTTAGATCCAGAGTTAATTTTTGCTATTCTCATTACTTCCAATCTATTGATCTGTTGGAACGAAAGCATGTAAAAATCAGAATTGTTCTTGGATATCTTTCCAAAACCCTAATAAAATGGAAATAAAATTAAGCGTTAGGAGAAATGTCACAGAAGAAAGATGGAAGGTGAAAATGGGATGGTTCCAACTAGCGGCCACAGAAAACAAAAAAACGGGAAAAAATTCCCCCAAATGCATCCTTCCGGGAAAGGCAGCTGGATAATGAATTGGAAAGCTGTGATTGGGCCAGCCTACACCCACCTCCATCCTACCGCGATCATGTGACTTAGTGCAGTGTGTACTCAGCCCGCCCTCTGCTTCCCACTGCACACATAGACAAAGAGATGTAACATGAGCACTGAGCTGAAGTATATTTATACAGAAGAAACTCATTACTTTATTACAGAGGAGGAAACAAACATGGCCTCTGGCCATTGCTGCTAAAGAGGCTGAAATGGATTCTGAAATCCATGCTCTGCGCATTCTTCCTTGCTCGCTTGCTGTATTTTGAATTTTTGCATATGAATTCATAATGGAAGGGGGGGTTGAGTGTGCCATATATGAATGAAAAACCAAGTTATGTAACAGTTCTCCAAAACCAGGAGTCCTGCCTTAACTGGATTCTGTGGTGACATTACAATCCAAAAACATCCAGACATTTTGCTAACCAAATTAAATCTGGTACCCATTTTTCTTTTTCCTAGCAAGAGCTATCGGAACAGCTCTTCCTATTAAATAAAAGGGAAGCGGGGGAACCCTTGCAGGGCAGAGCTGAGGATTATGCCCAATTCTTAGCGGAC